GAGGTGGGTAGAGAGAGAGAAGGAGAAGGGAGAAGGAAAAGAAAGACAAGGGGAGAAAATGGGAAAAATTAAGAGAGAGAGAGAGAGGAAAAAAAAACACAGTGAGAGAGAAAGAAAAAGAGAAAAAAGTGAGAGAGAATGAGATAGAAAGAGAGAGGCATAGAGAGGGGAAGAGGGAGAAAAAGAGAGAGAAAAAGAGAGAGAGAGAAAGAAAGACAGAGAGGGACAGCTAGAGAGGGACAGAGAGAAAAAGACAGAGAAAAAGAGAAAGAGAGAGAGAAAAAGAGAGAGAGAGAGAAAGAAAGACAGAGAGGGAAAGAGAGAAAAAGAGAAAGAGAGAGAGAGACAAAAGGAGAGAGCGACAGAGAGAGAGAGAAAGAAAGAAAAGACTCACTGTTGGCTTTTTCCCATCCTTGATGAGTGTCTTCCTGCGCAGACATCCCTGGAAGGTAAAACTGTGCTCACCACTGGAGCCCGGCTCATCTTCTGACTCCCTACGGCAAAAACTGAAACATATACAGAGTGACAGAGTGAGAGACCACACTGGGAAAAGAAACACTGAAACATACAGAGCGACAGAGTGAACGACAACACTGGATTGACTACAAGTTCATTACAATGTGTAATTTCTCTCTCTCTCTCTCCAGCAAATGATAGAAAAACAGAAATTAAAATATTCATCTCCACTGCAGGACACTATAACTCTCTCTGCTGCTCAGAATGAAGACTGTAGTAGCCTTGTTGACAACACTTGTACAAAAAAATTTTCATACCCACTTGGAAAAAACGGAAACAAAAACAAAAAACAACCCCCCAACCCCCGAAAACAAAACACCTCCAAACCCCATATATTCATCACCATTCCCACACCAGATCATCCCCCCCCCCGGTCTCCTTTAAAAAGTAACTTAAATTATGGAAACACACAGACCCCCCCCGAGCAGACACAGCAGTGACGTACCTGTTGAGTGCGGGCCAGAAGGACTCCTGGTCGCTGGACGTGGACTCGAATGTGTCTCTTAGTTCTGATTACGGAGAGGGATGGGGGAGG